TAACTTTTTTCTGTTTCTTTAAACTTTATTTATTTTTTTAATTTTTAAATTTTATTTACTTTTTTATACAGCAGGTTCTTATTGGTTATCTATTTTATAGATATAAATGTATACATGTCAATCCCAATCTCCCAACTCCTCCCACCCAACACCCCACGGCTTTAGCCTCTTGGTGTCCATACCAAGAGGTTAGCGTACGACAACAGTTTAGTGTTAGTGTACGTGTTACGGTACAGGTTAGAGTTAGTGTACGGGTTAGGATTAGGGGACGGGATAGGTTAAGGCTTTGGGATAGGGTTAGGTTTAGGGATAGGGTTAGGGTTAGAGAACGGGGATGGTTTAGGGTACAGGTTAGGGTACAACAACGGTTTAGGGTTAGATTATATGTTAGGGTACGGGTTAGTGTTAGTGTACATGTTAGGATTAGGGGACGGGTTAGGGTAAGCCTTCGGGTAAGGGTTAGGGTTAGGGTTAGGTTTAGGGTTAGTGTTAGGGGACCAGGAACGTTTAGGGTACAGGTTAGGTTACGACAATATTTTAGGGTGAGCGTACTTGTTAGGGTATGTGTTAGTGTTAGCGTACATGTTACGATTGGGATGGGTTAGGATAAGTCTTCGGGTAAGGGTTAGGGTTAGGGTGAGGGGACGGGGACAGGGACGGTTTAGGGTACAGGTTACGGTAGGACAACGGTTTAGGGTGAGCGTACGTGTTAGGGTACAGTTTAGAGTTAGCGTATGTGTTAGGATTAGGGGACGGTTTAGTGTGGGGCTTCGGGTAAGGATTAGGCTTAGGGTTAGGGTTAGGTTTATGGTTAGGGGACGAGGACTGTTTAGGGTACAGATTAGGTTATAACAACGGTTTAGGGTGAGCGTAGGTGTTAGGGTATGGGTTACTGTTAGCGTATGGTTTAGGTTTACGGGACGGTTAGGGTAACGCTTCAGGTAAGGGTTAGGGTTAGGGTTTTGGTTAGGCTTAGGTTTAGTGGACGGGTACGGTTTAGGGTACAGATTAGTGTACGACAACGGTTTAGGTTTAGCGTACGTCTTAGGATATGGGTTAGTGTTAGCGTACGGTTTAGGATTAGGGTACGGGTTAGGGTAAGGTTTTGGGTAAGGGTTAGGGTTAGGGTTAGGGGACAGGGACGGTTTAGGGTACAGTTAGCGTACAACAACGGTTTAGGTTTAGCGTACCTCTTAGGGTATGGGTTAGTTTTACACATGCATTAGGATTAGGGGACGGCTTAGGGTAAGTCTTTGGGTAAGCGTTAGTGTTAGGGTTAGGGTTAGGGGTCGGGCAGGGTTTACAGTACAGGTTAGGGTACGACAACGTTTTAGGGGTAGCATAAGTGTTAGGGTATGGGTTAGTGTTAGCGTATGGGTTAGGATTAGGGGAAGGGTTAGGGTAAGGCTTCGAGTAAGGGTTAGGGTTATCATTATGGTTAGGAGAAGGGGATGGGGACGGTTAAGGGTACAGGTTAGGGTACGACAACAGTTTAGGGTTAGCGTATGTGTTAGCATACGGGTTAGAGTTAGCGTACGGTTTAGGATTAGGGGACGTGTTAGGGTAAGGTTTCGGGTAAGAGTTAGTGTTAGTGTTAGGGTTAGTGTGAGGGTTAGGGGACAGGGATGGTTTTGGGAACAGGTTTGTGTATGACAACAGTTTAGATTTAGCATACGTGTTAGGGTATGGGTTAGTGTTAGCGTACGGTTTAGGATTAGGCGATAGGTTAGGGTAAGGCTTCGTGTAAGGGTTAGTGTTAGGGTTAGGATATGGGGACGGTTTAGGCTATAGGTTAGGGTATGACAATGGTTCAGTGTGAGCGTATGTGTTAGGATACGGGTTAGTGTTAGCGCATGGGTTAGTATTAGGGGAAGTGTTAGTGTAAGGCTTCAGGTTAGGGTTAGGGTTAGGGTTAGGGATAGGGTTAGGCTTAGGAGATGGGGACGGTGTAGGGTACAAGTTACGGTACGTAAACTGTTTAGGGTGAGCATACGTGTTAGGGTATGGGTTAGTGTTAGCGTACCGTTTAGGATTAGGGGCGGGTTACGGTAAGGCTTCGGGTAAGGGTGAGTGTTTGGGTTAGGGTTAGGTTAGGGTACAGGGATGCTTTAGGTTACAGGTTAGTGTACAACAATGGTTTAGCGTTAGCGTATGTGTTAGGGTACAGGTTAGTGGTAGTATATGGTTTAGGATTAGGGGACGGATTAGTATAGGGCTTTGTGTAAGGGTTAGAGTTAGGGTTACTGTTAGGGGACGGGGACGGTTTAGGGTACAGGTTAAGGTACGACAACGGTTTAGGGTTAGCCTATATGTTAGGGTATTGGTTAGAGTTAATGTACGCTTTAGGATTTGGGAAGAGTTAGGGTAAGGCTTTGGGTATTGGTTAGTGTTAGGGATACGTTTAGGGTTAGGGGTAGGGGACGGGACGGTTCAGGTTACAGGTTAGTGTATGACAGCGTTTTAGGGTTAGCATAAATGTTATGGTATGGGTTACTGTTAGCATACTGGTTAGGATTAGGGAAAGGATTCGAGTAAGGTTTAGGGTTAGGGTTACGGTTAGGTGACGGGGTCTGTTTATGGTACAGGTTAGGTTATGACAAAGATTTATGGTTAACGTACCTGTTAGGGAACGTGTTTGTGTTAGCGTACGGGTTAGGATTAGAGGAAGGGTTAGGGTAAGGCTTCGGGTAAGGGTTAGGCTTAGGGTTAGAGTTGGGGATGGGGACGGTGTAGGGTACAGTTTAGGGTATAACAATGGTTTACTGTTAGCGTACGTGTTAGGGTACGAATTAATGTTAGCATACAGGTTAGGATTAGGGGACAGGTTATGGTAAGGCTTCGCGTAAGTATTAGGGTTAGGGTTAGGGTTAGGGGACGGGGACGGTATAGGGAAAAGATTAGTGTACGACAACGGTTTAGGTTTAGCGTACGTGTTAGGGTAAGTGTTAGTGTTAGCATACGGTTTAGGATTAGAGGACGTGTTAAGGTAAGGCTTCGGGTAAGCTTTAGGTTTAGGGTTGGGGTTAGGGATAGGGTTAGGGTTAGGGAAGGGGTAAGGTTTAGGGTACAGGTTAGGGTATGTCAAAGGTTTAGTGTTAACGAACGTGTTAGGGTACAGGTTTGAGTTAGTGTACGGGTTAGGATTAGGGGACAGGATAGGTTAAGGCTTTGGGATAGGCTTAGGTTTAGGGATAGGGTTAGGGTTAGGGAACGGGGATGGTTAGGGTACAGGTTAGGGTACGACAATGGTTTAGGGTTACAGTATATTTTAGGGTACGGGTTAGTGTTAGTGTATGGGTAAGGATTAGGGGACGGGTTACGGTATGTCTTCAGGTAAGGATTAGGTTTAGGGTTAGGTTTAGGGTTAGTGTCAGGGGACCGGGACGGTGTAGGGTACAGGTTAGGGTACGACAACGATTTAGGGTGAGCGAATGTGTTAGGGTACGGGTAAGTGTTAGCGTACGTGTTAGGATTAGGGGATGGGTTAGAGTAAGGATTCGGGTAAGGGTTAGGGTTAGATTTAGTGGATGGGGACAGTTTAGAGTACAGGTTAGGGTACAACAACTGTTTACGGTGAGCTTACGTGTTAGGGTACGAGTTAGTGTTAGCGTAAGGGTTAGGATTAGGGGACGGGTTAGGATAAGGCTTCGGGTAAGGGTTAGGGTTAGGGGACGGTTACAGGGACCGGGACAGTTTAGGGTACAGGTTAGGGTACGAAAATGGTTTAGGGTGAGCGTACATGTTACAGTACGGGTTAGTGTTAGTGTAAGTGTTAGGATCAGGGGACGGTTTAGTGTTAGCTTTCAGGTAAGTGTTAGGGTTAGGGTTAGGTTTAGGGATAGAGGACGGGGACTGTCAGGGTACAGGTTAGGGTACGACAATGGTTTAGTGTGAGCATACGTGTTAGAGTACGGGTTAGTGTTAGCGTACAGGTTAGGACTAGGGGACAGTTTAGGGTAAGGCTTTGCATAAGGTTTAGGCTTAGGGTTAGGGTTAGGTTTATGGTTAGGGGACGGGGACGGTTTAGGGTACAGGTTAGGGTATGACAACGGTTTAGGGTGAGCGTACATGTTAGGGTATGTTTTACTGTTAGCATACGGGTTAGGATTTGTGGACGCATTAGGTTAAGGATTCGGGTAAGGGTTAGGGTTAGTGTTAGGGTTAGGGTTAGGGGACAGGGACAGTTTAGAGTACAGGTTAGGGTACGACAACTTTTTAGGGTGAGCGTATGTGTTAAGGTATGGGTTAGTGTTAGCGTTCGGGTAAGGATTAGGGGACGGTTTAGGGTAAGGCTTCAGGAAAGGTTCATGGTTAGGGTTAGTGTTACTGTTAGAGGACACGGGATGGTTCAGCGTACAGGTTAGGGTACGAAAATGGTTTAGGTTGACCGTACGTGTTAGGGTACAGTTTAGTATTAGTGTATGGGTTAGCATTAGGGGACAGGTTAGGGTAAGGCTTCGGGTAATGGTTAGGGTTAGGGTTAGGCTTAGGCTTAGAAGACAGAGACGGTTTAAGGTACACGTTAGTGTACGACAATTGTTTAGGGTGAGCGTACATGTTAGGGTATGGGTTAGAGTAGGCGTACGGTTTAGGTTTAGCAGACCGGTTAGGGTAAAGTTTCTGGTAAGTGTTAGGTTTAGGGTTAGTGTTAGTGATAGGGATGGGGAAGGTTTAGGGTACCGGTTAGGGTACGACAACGGTTTCGGTTGAGCGTACATGTTAGGGTATGTTTTAGTGTTAGCGTATGGGTTAGGATTAGGGGAAGGATTAGGGTAAGGCTTCGGGTAAGTGTTAGGGTTAGGGTTTGGGTTAATGTTAGGGGACGGGGACAGTTTCAGTTACAGGTTAGGGTATGACAACGGTATAGGGTGAGCGTACGTTTACGGTATGGGTTAGTGTTAGCGTACGGGTTAGGATTAGGTGACGGGTTAGCTTAAGGCTTCAGGTAAAGGGTATGGGTAGGCTTAGGTTTAGGGTTACTCTTAGGGGATGGGGACGGTTTAGGGTACCGTTTAGGTTATGACAACTGTTTAGGGTGAGCGTACATATTATGGTATGTTTTAGTGTTAGCATACGGGTTAGGATTAGTGGATGGGTTATTTAAGGCTTCGGGTAAGTGTTAGGGTTAGGGTTATGGTTAGGGGACGGGGACGGGGATGGTTTAGAGTACAGGTTAGGGTACGACAAAGTTTTAGGGTAAGCATACATGTTAGGGTATGGGTTAGTGTTAGCGTACAGGTTAGGATTAGGGGACAGTTTAGGGTAAGGCTTCGGGAAAGGGTCATGGTTAGGGTTAGGTTTATGGTTAGGGGAAGGGGATGGTTTAGGGTACAGGGTAGAGTACGACAACGGTTTAGTGTGAGCATACGTTTTCGGGTATGGGTTATCGTTAGCGTACGGGTTGGAATTATGGGACGTCTAAGGGTAAGGCTTCGGGTAAGGGTTAAGGTTAGGGTTAGGTTTAGGGTTAGGAGACAGAGACGGTTCAGGGTACACATTAGTGTATGACGGTGGTTTAGGGTGAGCATACGTGTTAGAGTACGGGTTAGTGTTAGCGCCCAGATTAGGTTTAGGGGACGGGTTAGGATAAGGCTTCAGGTAAGGTTTAGAGTTAGGGTTAGTGTTAGGGTTAGGTGATGGGGAAGGTTTAGATTACAGGTTAGGGTACGACGATGGTTTTGTGTGAGTGTACGTGTTAGCGTATGTTTTAGTGTTAGAGTTCGGGTGAGGATTGGGGAAGGGTTACAGTAAGACTTTGTGTAAGGGTTAGGGATAGGGTTAGGGTTAGGGTTATGGGATGGGGAAAGTTTAGGGTACAGGTTATGGCAGGACAAGAGTTTAGGGAGAGCGTTCTTGTTAGGGTATGTTGTAGTGTTAGCGTACGTGTTTGGAGTAGTGGATGGGTTAGGTTAAGGCTTTGGGTAAGGTTTAGGATTAGGGTTAGGGTTAGTGTTAGGGGATCGGGACGGTTTAGGGTACAGGTTAGGGTATGACAACGGTTGAGGGTGAGTGTATGTGTTAGAGTATTGGTTAGTGTTAGGGTACGTGTTAGGATTAGGGTAGGGGTTAGGTTAAGGCTTCGGTAAAGGTTTAGGGTTATGGTTATGGTTAGGGTTAGGGGATAGGGATGGTTCAGGGTACAGGTTAAGGTATGACAATGGTTTAGGGTGAGCGTACATGTTAGGGTACCTGTTAGTGTTAGTGTACGAGTTAGCATTAGGGCATGGGTTAGGGTAAGTCTTCGGGTAAGGGTTAGGGCTAGGGTTAGGGTTAGGGTTAGGGGACTGGGACGGGGAAAGTTTAGGGTACAGGTTAGAGTTAGGGTTAGGGTTAAGGTTGGTTTATGGGATAGAGACGGGGACGGTTTAGGGTACAGGTTAGGGTATGACAGCAGTTTAGAGTGAGCGTACATGTTAGGACACGTGTTAGTGTTAGCGTACGGGTTAGGATTAGGGGACGGGTTAGGGTAAGGATTCGGATAAGGGTTAGGGTTAGGCTTACGGGACGGGGACAGGGACGGTTTAGGGTACAGGTTAGGGTATGACAGCGGTTTAGGATAAGCATACGTGTGAGGGCACGTGTTCAAGTTAGCGTACGGTTTAGGATTAGGGGACGGGTTAGGGTAAGTCTTCAGGTAAGTGTTAGGGTTAGGGTTAGGGTTAGGGGATGGTTTAGGGTACAGGTTATGGTACGAAAACGGTATAGGGTGAGCGTACGTGTGAGGTCACGGGTTAGTGTAAGTGTACGGGTTAGGATTAGGGGACGGGATAGGGTAAGGTTTCGGGTAAGGGTTAGGGTTAGGGTTAGGGTTAGGGTACGGGGATGGTTTAGGTTACAGGATAGGGTACGACAACGATTTAGTGTGAGCGTAGGTGTGAGGGCACGGGTTAGTGTTAGCGTACGGGTTAGGATTATGGGACGGGTTAGGGTAAGGCTTCGGGTAAGGGTTAGGTTTAGGGTTAGGGTTAGGGGATGGGGACGGTTTAGAGTACAGGTTAGGTTACGACAACGGTTTAGGGTGAGCGTACATGTGAGAGCACGAGTTAGTGTTAGCGTACGGGTTAGGATTAGGGGACGGGTTAGCGTAAGGCTTCGGGTAAAGGTTAGTGTTAGGGTTAGGGTTAGGGGATGGGGACGGTTTAGGGTACAGGTTAGGGTACGACAGCGGTTTAGGGTGAGCGTACGTGTGAGGGCACGTGCTTGAGTTAGCGTACGGTTTAGGATTAGGGGATGGGTTAGGGTAAGTCTTCAGGTAAGTGTTAGGCTTAGTGTTAGGGTTGCAGGTCGGGGACGGTTTACGGTACAGGTTAGGGTACGACAACGGTTTAGGGTGAGCGTACGTGTGAGGGCACGGGTTAGTGTTAGCATACGGGTTTGGATTAGAGGACGGGTTAGCGTAAGGCTTCGGGTAAGGGTTATGGTTTGGTTTATGGTTAGGGTTAGGGTAGGGAACTGGGACGGTTTAGGGTACAGGTTACTGTACGACAACGGTTTAGGGTGTGTGTACGTGTTAAGGCACGGGTTAGTGTTAGCTTACGGGTTAGGATTAGGGGATGGGTTAGGGTAAGACTTCGGGTAAGGGTCAGGGTTAGGGTTATGGTTAGGGATAGGGGACGGGGATGGTTTAGGGTACAGTTTAAAGTATGGCAATGGTTTAGGGTGAGCGTACGTGTGAGGGCACGGGTTAGTGTTAGCGTACGCGTTAGGATTACGGGATGGCTTAGGGTAAGGCTTCAGGTAAGGGTTAGGGTTAGGGATAGGGTTAGGGGACAGAGACGGTTTAGAGTACAGGTTAGGGTACGACAACGGTTTAGGGTGATCGTACGTGTGAGGACATGGGTTAGTTTTAGCATACGGGTTAGGATTAGGGGACGGGTTAGGGTAAGGCTTCGGGTAAGGGTTAGGGTTAGTGTTAGATTTAGGATTGGGGACGGGGACGATTTAGGGTACAGGTTAGGGTACGACAATGGTTTAGTGTGAGCGTACATGTGAGGGCGTGTGTTAGTGTTAGCGTACGGGTTAGGATTAGGGGACGGGTTAGTGTAAGGCTTCGAGTAAGGTTTAGGTTTAGGATTAGGGTTAGAGTTAGGGGACGGGGACGGTTTAGCGTACAGTTTAGTGTACAACAACAGTTTAGGGTGAGCGTACGTGTGAGGGCACGGGTTAGTGTTAGTGTACGGGTTAGGATTTCGGGATGGGTTAGGGTAAGACTTCGTGTAAGAGTTAGGGTTAGGGTTAGGGTTAGGGTTAGTGTTAGGGGACGGGGACGCTTTATGGTACAATTTGGGTATGACAACGGTTTAGGGTGAGCGTACGTGTGAGGGCACGGATTAGTGTTAGCGTACGTTTTAGGATTAGGGGACGGTTTAGGGTAAGGCTTCGGGGAAGGGTTAGGGTTAGGGTTAGGGGACGGGAACGGTTTAGGATTCAGTTTAGGGTACAACAACGGTTTAGGGTGAACGTACATGTGAAGGCATGGGTTAGTGTTAGCGTTCAGTTAGGATTAGGGGCCGGGTTAGGGTAAGGCTTCGGTAAGGGTTAGGGTTAGTGTTAGAGTTAGGATTGGGGACGGGGATGATTTAGGATACAGGTTAGGGTACAACAACGGTTTAGTGTGAGCGTACGTGTGAGGGCACGGGTTAGTGTTAGCGTACGGGTTAGGATTAGGGGACGTGTTACGGTAAGACTTCGGGTAAGGGTTAGGGTTAGGGTTAGGGGATGGGGATGGTTTAGGGTACAGGATAGGGTACAACAACGGTTTAGTGTGAGCATACGTGTGAGGGCACGGGTTAGTTATAGTGTACGGGTTAGGATTAGGGGATGGGTTAGGGTAAGGCTTCGTGTAAGGGTTAGGTTAGGGTTAGGGTTAGGTTTAGTGTTAGGGGATGGGGACGGTTTAGGGTACAGGTTAGGGTATGACAACGGTTTAGGGTGAGTGTACGTGTGAGGGTACGGGTTAGTGTAGTGTACGTGTTAGGAAGAGGGGACGGTTTAGGGTAAGGCTTCGGGTAAGGGTTAGGGTTAGGTTTAGGATTAGGATTAGGGGATGGGGTCGGTTTAGTGTACAGGTTAGGGTATGACAATGCTTTAGGGTGAGCGTACGTGTGAGGACACGGGTTAGTGTTAGCGTACTGGTTTAGATTATGGGACGGGATAGGGTAAGGCTTCAGGTAAGGGTTAGGGTTAGGGTTAGGGTTAGTGTTAGGGGACGGGGACATGGACGGTTTAGGGTATACGTTAGGGTATGACAACGGTTTAGGGTGAGCGTACGTGTGAGGGCACGGGTTAGTGTTAGCATATGGAGTAGGATTAGGGGACGTGCTAGGGTAAGGCATCGGGTAAGAGTTAGGCTTAGGGCTAGGGTTAGGGGTGGGGACGGTTTAGGATACAGGTTAGGGTACGACAATGGTTTAGGGTGAGCGTACGTGTGAGGGCACGGGTTAGTTTTAGTGTACGTGTTAGGATTAGGGGATGGGTTAGTGTAAGGCTTCAGGTAAGCGTTAGGGTTAGGGTTGGGGACGGGGACATTTAGGGTACAGGATAGGGTTCGACAACGGTTTAGTGTGAGCATACGTGTGAGGGCACTGGTTAGTGTTAGCGTACGGGTTAGGATTAGGGGACGGGTTAGGGTAAGGCTTCGGGTATGGGTTAGGTTTAGGGTTAGGGGACAGGGACGGTTTAGGGTACAGGTTAGGGTACGAGAAATGTTTAGGGTGAGCGTACGTGTGAGGGCACGGTTTAGTGTTAGCGTACGGGTTAGGATAAGGGGACGGGTTAGGGTAAGGCTTCTTGTAAGGGTTAGGTTTAGGGTTAGGCTCTAGGCTTAGTGTTAGGGGACGGGGACGGTTTAGGGTACAGGTTAGGGTATGACAATGGTTTAGGTTGAGCGTACGTGTGAGGGCACAGGTTAGTGTAGCATATGTGTTAGGAAGAGGGGACGGTTTAGGGTAAGGCTTCGGGTAAGAGTTAGGGTTAGGTTTAGGATTAGGATTTGGGGATGGGGTCGGTTTAGGGTACAGGTTAGGGTATGACAATGGCTTAGGGTGAGCGTACGTGTGAGGACACGGGTTAGTGTTAGCGTACTGGTTAGGATTAGGGGACGGGTGAGGGTCAGGCTTCGGGGAAGGGTTAGGGTTAGGGTTCGGGCTAGGGTTAGGGTTAGGGGATGGGAAGGGTTTAGGGTCCAGGTGAGGGTACGACAACGCTTTAGGGGGAGCGTACGTGTGAGGGCGCGGGTTAGTGTTAGCGTACTGGTTAGGATTATGGGACGGGATAGAGTAAGGCTTCAGGTAAGGGTTATGGATATGGTTAGGGTTAGGGGACTGGGACGGGGAAGGTTTAGGGTATAGGTTAGCGTACGACAACGGTTTAGGGTGAGTGTACGTGTGAGGGCACGGGTTAGTTTTAGTGTAAGGGTTAGGATTAGGGGACGGGTTAGTGTAAGGCTTCGGGTAAGGGATAGGGTTAGGCTTAGGTTTAGGGTTGGGGATGAGGACAGTTTAGAGTACAGGTTAGGGTACGACAACGGTTTAGGGTGAGCGTACGTGTGAGGGCACGGGTTAGTGTTAGCGTACGGGTTAGGATTGGGGACGGGTTAGGGTAAGGCTTCGGGTATGGGTTAGGGTTAGGGTTAGGGGACGGGGACGGGGACAGTTTAAGGTACAGGTTATGGTACGACAACGGTTTAGGGTGAGCGTACCTGTAGGGGACAGTTTAGTGTTACCGTACAGGTTAGGATTAGGGGACGGTTTAGCGTAAGGCTTCGGGTAATTGTTACTGTTAGGGTTAGGGTTATGGTTAGCGTACGGGGAGTGTTTAGGGTCCAGGTAAGGGTACGACAATGGTTTAGGGTGAGCGTACCTGTGAGAGCACAGATTAGTGTTAGCGTACGGGTTAGGATTAGGGGACGGTTTAGGGTAAGGCTTCGGGTAATTGTTAGTTTTAGGGTTAGGTTTAGGGGACGGGGACGGTTTAGGGTAAAGTTTAGTGTACGACAATGGTTTAGGGTGAGCGTACGTGTGAGGGCACGGGTTAGTGTTAGCGTACGGTTTAGTATTAGGGGCGGGTTAGGGTAAGGTTTCGGGTAGGGGTGAGGGGACGGGGACGGTTTAGGGTACAGGTTATGGTACGACAACGGTTTAGGGTGAGCATACGTGTGAGAGCACGGGTTAGTGTTAGCGTACGGGTTAGGATTAGGGGACCGGTAGCGTAAGGCTTCGGGTAAGGGTTAGGTTTAGGGTTAGCCTTAGGGTTGAAGTTGGGACGGGGACGGTTTAGGGTACAGGTTAGGGTATGACAACGGTTTAGGGTGAGCGTACGTGGGAGGGCACGGTTTAGTGTTAGTGTACGGGTTAGGATTATGGGACGGGTTAGGGTAAGGTTTCAGGTAAGGGTTAGGGTTAGGGTTAGGGGATGGGGACGGTTTAGGGTACAGTTTAGGGTACGACAACGTTTCAGGATGAGCGTACGTGTGAGGGCACGGGTAACTGTTAGCGTACGGGTTAGGATTAGGGGACGGGTTAGGGTAAGGCTTCGGGTAAGTGTTAGGGTTAGGGTTAGGGGACGGGGACGGGGACGGTTTAGGGTTTAGGTTAGGGTATGACAACGGTTTAGGTTGAGCATACGTGTGAGGGCACGTGTTAATGTTAGCCTACGGTTTAGGATGAGGGGACGGGTTAGGGTAAGGCTTCAGGTAAGTGTTAGGGTTAGGGTTAGGGTTAGGGTCAGGGGACGGGGATGGTTTAGGGTAAAGGTAAGGGTAGGACAACGGTTTAGGGTAAGCGTACGTGTGAGGACACAGGTTAGTGTTAGCGTACGGGTTAGGATTAGGGGACGAGTTAGGGTAAGGATTCGGGTAAGGGTTAGGGATAGGGTTAGGGTTAGGTTTAGGGTTAGGGGATGGGGAAGGTTTAGGGTACAGGTTAGGGTTAGGGTTAGGGTTAGCGGACAGGGACGGTTTAGGGCACAGGTTAGTGTACGACCTCGGTTTAGGGTGAGCGTACGTGTGAAGGCATGGCTGAGTTTTAGCATACGGGTTAGGATTAGGGGACGGATTAGTGTAAGGCTTCGGGTAAGGGTTAGTGTTAGGGTTAGGGGATGGGGATGTTTTATGGTACAGGTTAGGGTACGACAACGGTTTAGGGTGAGCATACATGTGAGGGCACGTGTTAGTGTTAGCCTACGGTTTAGGATTAGGGGACGGGTTAGGGTAAGGCTTCAGGTAAGTGTTAGGGTCAGGGTTAGGTTTAGGGTTAGGGTTAGAGGACGGGGACGGTTTAGGGTACAGGTTAGGGTATGACAATGGTTTAGGTTGAGCATACATGTGAGGGCACAGGTTACTGTTATCGTACGGGTTAGGATTAGGGGACGGGTTAGGGTAACACTTTGGGTAAGGGTTAATGTTAGGGTTAGTGTTAGGGGACAGGGACGGTTTAGGGTACAGGTTAGGGTACAACAACGGTTTAGGGTGAGTGTACCTGTGAGGGCACAGATTAGTGTTCGCGTACGGGTTAGGATTAGGGGACTGTTTAGGGTTAGGCTTCGGGTAATTGTTAGTGTTAGGGTTAGGGTTAGGGGACGGGGATGGTTGAGGGTAAAGTTTAGGGTACGCCAACGGTTTAGGGTGAGAGTACGTGTGAGGGCACAGGTTAGTGTTAGCGTACGGGTTAGGATTTGGGGCGGGTTAGGGTAAGGCTTCGGGTAAGGGTTAGGGTTAAGGTTAGGGTTAGGGTTAGGGTACGGGGAGTGTTTAGGGTACAGGTAAGGGTACGACAATGATTTAGGGTGAGCGTACCTGTAGGAGCACAGATTAGTGTTAGCGTACGGTTTAGGATTAGGGGACAGTTTAGGGTAAGGCTTTGGGTAATTGTTAGTGTTAGTGTTAGGGTTAGGTTTAGGGGACGGGGCCGGTTTAGGGTAAAGTTTAGGGTACGACAACGGTTTAGGGTGAGCATACGTGTGAGGGCACGGGTTAGTGTTAGCGTACGGGTTAGGATTAGGGGCGGGTTAGGGTAAGGTTTCGGGTAAGGTTTAGGGGACGGGGATGGTTTAGGGTACAGGTTATAGTACGACAACGGTTTAGGGTGAGGATACGTGTGAGGGCACAGGTTAGTGTTAGCGTACGGGTTAGGATTAGGGGACGGGTAGCGTAAGGCTTCGGGTAAGGGTTAGGGTTAGGGTTAGCGTTA